TTCCAGACGAAAAACAGATTTTTGCCACTCCGGAAGGAATGAATAAGTTAAGTTTTTTCGAAGTTAAGTTTTACCCCTGCTGAATTCAAGTCCCAGTTTTGCCACTGCTCTCATGTTTGTATTATACGTTTCTTTACTTTTTGAGCCTCAGTTTGTCTTTATCATGGTTAACGATTTCGATTTCGCATATATTATTGCTTGGACCTACTATATAAATGTCGGAATATCCGTCCGTGTATGTCTGCCACACTGCTCGCGTGTTGTGTATTTGTACGGTAGTTGTCTTTTTGAGCCCTGATTTGTCTTTAATATGGTTATCTATTTCAATTTGGCATTTATTAATGCTTGCATCTACTGTATAAATGTCCGAATATGGGTCCTAGCAGGATCGAATGAGAATAATTTTCAATTTTGAGCTTAATTCTACATTTTTTCTGTAGCTGTCCATAAATTTTCTTTACTATTGGGTTGATGAAATTTTGTTCATTGATTACAGATGACGGTGTCATGTCGAACATTGAATTATCCCGTGATAACCGTAATAACCTGTCATTAGGAATTCGTTCTGCACCTGAGTTCAAGCCCAGGAAAGTCTCTTCAGTTCGGGATTTCCCACCTGGGTGTGGCCCCAATGCTAAGCCGGTGGATTTGAAGTTCGACAGTGTTAAGCTGGGAACATCCTATGGGCATAAGGATGAATTCCTATGTAGAAGTGTGTCTGCTGCTTGTGATTTTCCTCCCTTATGCGGTCCAAATGCTCCTCAACCTACCCAAGGAGAACTACAGATGATTAGTCATGGAAAAGATNCCAAGGAGAACTACAGATGATTAGTTATGGAAAAGATTGTGTGGATGACAGTAAAAAAATTGAAGTGGAAACATATGCAACTCAGACACCAAGGAAAAATCTGGAAAGAGGGGCATTGATGGAGACGCAGATCATAGCTCAAACCGAATCTGTGGATGGAGTTGAAAAGGTTGAAGTCAGAACAGCAGCAGTCGAAACAATTAGAGGAACCATTGGAGAAGATGTCATGAAGCTGCCTTTATCGTGGCGACACAAAGCTGTTGCCAAAAGAAGTAAAATTGTGCGAGATATTTCAGGGGGGCATCCACGAAGAAGAAAGCAATTCCGGGTGCATTGACCCTCAGGGATCAAACAAGTTATGGTGCCCATGATGAAAATCTACCCTCAAATTCTCATTCCAGCAACGCACCACGTGGTTTTGATGTTAGCATCCCTCCCAAACATTCCAGTCATGACGATGCCCGTAATAGAGTGATGGAGACTCTTCGATTGTTTCGTTCTATTTCCAGAAAGCTCTTGCAAAATGAAGCAAAGTCCGAGAATCAACCCAAGAGGATTGATCTTCACGCAGCAAAGATTATCAAAGAAGAAGAAATGGAAGTTAACACAGGCAAGCAAATTTTGGGAGAAGTGCCAGGAATTGAAGTGGGGGACGAGTTTCAATACAGAGTTGAGCTTGCCATTGTTGGCATTCACCGCCTATACCAGACCGGCATAGATTCAATGAAGCACAATGGAATATCAGTCGCAAATAGTATTGTCGATGCTGGTGTTTATGCTGGTGATAAGCATAATGCTGACGTCTTGTTATACTCTGGAAATGGGGGAAACATCGTTGGGAAAAATAAGAAGCCCGAAGATCAGAAGCTCGAGAAAGGAAATTTGGCTTTAAAGAATAGTATATCAACAAAGACTCCTGTTCGTGTTGTCCGAGGATTGAAAGAAAAAACCCCTTCAGGTAAGCTAGTCACGACCTATGTTTATGATGGCTTATATACTGTGGACAGGTATTGGCAAGAAACTGGACCTCACGGGAAGCTGGTTTTCATGTTTGAGTTGAGTCGAATTCCCGGTCAACCTAAGCTTAGAAAGAAATCAAAGATATAAGGGGGTATAATCAATATTTTCAGGGTGTATGTATAATAAACTCGTAGGAATATCTTTTCTTTTTCAAATATAGAACTTGTGTAATAAGAGATTGAGAAATAGAAATATACTTGGTGATCATGGTTGTCTTGGTGGAGGAGTGCCATCCTTTTTACTTGATGGGTGTGAAGCATAAGCATACAAGTCCTTTCATGGCCAATTAGTGTCACTTTGGAGTGTCAGCTTAAGATTGATGTACCAAACATTTTATGTGGTATGACGAGACTTATTTTGTGGTTGTATCAGGCCAATCCAATTTTGGCATGTTCGGTGTGACGTGTTAAAAAATAATTTGGCTCGATT